AGAAGCATGGAAGGAAGGAAGGAAGGAAGGAAGGAAGGAAGGAAGGAAGGAAGGAAGGAAGGAAGGAAGGAAAGAAGGAATGATTGTACGGGGAATGCAGGAAGTAAACCGAAATAAAAGAAGCGTTACAAAAGAAAGAAAAAAAAGAAAGAAAGAAAGAAAGAACGAAGAAAGAAAGAAAGAAAGAAAGAAAGAAAGAACGAAAGAAAGCATATAAGGAGGGATGAAAGAATAAAACCCAAACAAACGAAGCGTTAGAAAAGAAAGAAAGAAACAAAGAATAAAAAAAAACATACATAGAGAAATAAAGGAATGAAAACTAAATAAAGAAAGCATTCCAAAAGAAAGAACGAAAGGGAGGGAGGGAGGGAGGGAGGAAGGAAGGAAGGAAGATGTAATATAAGTAGAAATAAAGCAAGTCTGTAATAAAAAGCCGATGTCGTCCTGGAAAGAAACGATCAAGTAAAACTTAAAATTTATGAATGTCCAACAGAATACAGTAGCGTCTAATCTTCTGCATGAAGAAGGTCAACAAAGATGAGAAACAATGCATCAGTGAAAATACAAAAGAAAGACGCAGATTAATTAAATGAAGGACGGCGTAAAAAGTGAAGAAATAAAGCATGAGTGAGATAGCCTTAGAGACAGTGACAGTTGTGACGTTTACAATAATTCTTATATAAAAAAAAATCTAACGAAAGAATATCAAAAACGTACGTCTAATAATAACATTCTTATTGTTAACGATTATCTTAAATAACGCAATAATGAAGTAACTATTTTAATAGCAACTCTCAAGTAGCGAGATCATAATGGCGTTGCAGCCGATTGTTAAGAAAAAAAAGACATCGGCTTGATGTAGTTACATTGTATATATCTTTCGTAGTTAAGAGCCCTTGCCTTTAAATTAGAGATTAAAAAGGTCAAAAAGAAAGTATTGGAAGAAAAGAAAGAAAAAAAAAGATCCTGGAAAGTGAAAGTAAAAGTAAAGGTTAAATTAAGTGAAATGGATTTGATTCTGGCCTCAATTAATTGAAACTTGACTTCTTCCGTTATTGTCTAAATCCACCCTTTCCCGCGTTTTTTTTCTTTATTTCTTTTAAGAAATCGTTTTATTCGTCCTCTGTATATAATTGGTTTAATGGTTTTTCTTTGAAATCTGAAAGCAGGAAGAAACTGGAGAACAGTTTAGTAAAATTAACAAAGACAACAAATACATATACAAAAAAAAATGATTAAAAAGTTTCCAATGTGGATTAAGTTTAGACAAAAAAACAAAGCAAACAATGAAATAAAAACAGAAAAATTAAAACGGATATGTAAGTAAACAAAGAGGCTGTCTATAAATATATAGGATTGAAAGTCGTTTACAGGAAAGAGAAAAATAAATAAAATGGAAGAAAAAGAAAAATTATTTTAGGAACGCTTCCTATATTTAAATAGAATCTTCAATTTTTTTTTCGTCGTAGATTCAAGAGAAAGTCTTTACTCCTATCAAACGAATCAAGTTCTCAAATGTCTCATTGGGAAACTTATTTAAGGATTTTAATCTACTCTTCCCTGTCTTTTCATTTTTTCTAAAATTTCCTATAATTACAGTGATTATCAATGGATTTGTATGTCTGCGTTTCTCTGATTTTTTCTCTATTTCTCATCGTCATTGACTTCAGGTTTACAATATTAATCCTTTGTTAGGATAATTTGCAATGAAATCTCTGTCTCCTTTATATATATATATATATATATATATATATATATATATATATATATATATATATATATATATGAGAGGACTTTATTTATTTATTTATTTGTTAGGTGAACAAAGAACAAATCTTTCTTATACAGTTTTCAATTTTTGTGTGAATAATTATTAGAATCCGTAGAAATTTTAACTTAAGGTTTTTATTATTTTTCTATTTGTTCATCATTGGAAATATTCGATTTAGGTTATTTCAGGATGTACAGAAATATATTTTGTAGTAAAAGTTAAACTAAATGTTTCACTGGATAAGGAAGTTAATATTTGAAGCAGATTTAAAAAATGAACTGCCGTCCTGGGTATGACGATAAACTACATCCGGCAGCAAGCCCTCTGGTCGGGAGTCTTTGGGGAGCGTGGAACAACCTCTTAAGTTCTTTTGTTCCAAGGTGCATCCTGACCCGGGGTGGTAGAACTTGTTAGTGCCCCATTTATAGACAAATAGTTAAACCCCAAACTTGGATCAAAACACTATAAAAGTATGAAGATGTTTATTGAAAGCATAACAGCCATGCATTTTCATCGTAAAAACAAAATACACAATAGATTACTGTTAAAGAAAAAATCGTTTAGTAGGAATAGATTTTTGTTAAGAGAAGACAAAATTACCCGTTTTATAAAACAACTTAATACTCCCAAGAAAATTAAATTTCAACAATGAATGACCAATAAGGAGTTGATGTGCCACTAACCGACCCCACCAAAAAAAACAAGCAAACAAACAAATGAGTAGAATATGTTGAAAAGAAAATGTCCATTGTAAGAGATTTTTTTTTAATATTAAGCAAGTGAACTTATTTATTTAATATTAATTTAAACTTGAACATAGTATGTATCCGACAATATTAAGTTGATCAAAGGTGTCTATTTTTCTTTTTTTTTAACAATTGTGAGGGATATGTTTGTGAAATGTATAATTTTTTTTAATTCCTACACACACACACACACACACACACACACACACACATATATATATATATATATATTTGTATATATACATACACGCATATATATATTCGATTATCATATTGCTGAATGAAATGTATGTTTCAAGATAATCTGTGTTTGTTATTTGTGTTTTTATATGGTGTAATTTATGGTGTATATTATATATATATATATATATATATATATATATATATATATATATGTGTGTGTGTGTGTGTGTGTGTGTGTATGTGTGTGTATGTGTTAAAGTTCTCAGAATATATCTGTGGAGAAGACAAATTGAATATATATATATATATATATATATATATATATATATATATATATATATATATATATAGTTACGACTTCTTGAGAGCCACGGCATGAATAAAAAGGAAAAAATCAAAAACAAAAAAAAATAAAATGGATTAGTTGTGAAAGATTCCACTACGATAGTGTATTTTTCTCTCACAGAGTCAAAAACACGTGAATAAAAAAAAAACAACAAACCACAAACACAAATACAAATTGCGACGAAATTTTAATCATGCATAAAATAATTTGAAACAAGGAATATATGCATGTAAATAAACCTTCAAAGAATATCTGAAATTAAAAAAAGATATGTACGCGATGTGTGCAATATGAGTACGAAAAATACACTTAGCTTTTTCAGTTGATTGAAATCAAATACACTTTTTCTTCTCTTCTTTTCTTTCTCACTCTCTTTTTTGTTAGATCTTTTTTCTTTCTCTTCTTCCTTTTTTATATAACATTTAAAGTCTTATTTTCTCGTGGGGGTAAATTCTATATTTTCAGGCTTTTGTCTTTTCTCTTCACAAGTGCAAAAAAATTCTATCATTGTTTTATTCATTATATACTATCCGTTGACACTATTGAACCACGAGCTGTGGTCATTTCTCCTTATATGCTTCTTTTGTATAAGGTTGATTCCTTTTAATTTACTAATGATCATTATCGTGTTAATTATGATTGCCTCCACTGAATTTTGTGTAGGACCATTTGGACAAAGAAGTGTTATCTTAACTGGGAGTTCGATGAATTCATTCGCATGATGGTCAGATCTCATCGAGTTTAGTTCTCTCAACTGACTTGTCTTGTTTTTTCGCGGACAATTTTGAATATCGTGTCAGGTGACTCCATGTACACAGTTAGTTTTAGCATACACGCAAAATGGTGCCTAGGTATCAATCATTTTAGACTCCAGGGCTTTCGTTTGACTGCATTTAGCTTGCCACGAAGAGAAAGGGTTACTGCCACGGACACAGAGATAGGGTAATAGTCACTGAAAGACAGAGAAAAGAATTTGAAACGCCCAGCCTCATTGTCAACGGTAACAACTCTCCAGTAAAACCCAAGTTACAAGAGATCAACATTATTTATGGATTTATATGCCCCTTACGCAACCCCGGTACTGATGAAAACAAATTCATGAATAATAATAGTATATACATCTACATGCTTATGAAGAAGTCTTCCTTTACATCGCTCGGACCATAGCTCCAGATTAGGATCTATTTAAATGCACAGAGAGACCGACCAACTTCAGTCCGCAACAGATTTCTCGAAAATATGAACACCAGACACTGGTCCACAATGAAAAAATAATATTCGAAAAAAGCAAATTAAAAATATTAATGAAAACCTTCATAACAGTACCTCGTTAGTTGTCTTCAATTAAACTTATATAGAATTTATATATATATATATATATATATATATATATATATATATATATATATATATATATATCTTACTTATTATAAAACGCAGATTGTATGTGCGTGTGCGTGTCTGTATGTTTATATATTAGATCGGATTTCCTACATTTTTCAACCGATTTCAACAAAACTTCACAGGACTACATAAAATTACCTTGCGGTGGTTCTGACAGCGACAAAAATTGGAAAAACACAATTGTTTTTGCACGAAATCAATTTGAAAACACGATTAAGAGGCATCACGAGAATGAAAGGGGAACAACTCATATCGAGTTATACTTATTATAAAAACCAAGTTGTTTGTGTGTGTGTGTGTGTGTGTGTGTGTGTGTGTGTTCGTTTATATATGGGATCGGATTTCCTACATTTTTCAACCGATTTCAACAAAACTTCACTTTTTTTTTTGGCAGGTAGTGTTTCTTATTGTCTTGTAATTTTTTTTTTTTTTTATTTTTACATTCAGAATGCTTTAAAAATTCCATTTACAAAGAGAATTGTTTATAATAAAATTCTATTCAATCAGTAGACTCATAACGATTGAAAACAATGTTTTTTGTTTGAGTTTGGGTTTGACCAATTGTAAAAAAAAAAAAAAAAAAAATGTAATTAAGACATGCGTGTCCGTCAACCTTAAACAATAATCTTTGTCAATTTTATTTTTTCAGTCTTTATGATGTTCGATACTTTATTTATCTCTTACTGTTACATCCCCTGGCCAACGCCGGGCTCTACTAGTATATATATATATATATATATATATATATATATATATATATATATATATATATATATATATATGAATTAAAAGAAAATTTATAGCACAAACATGTTATAAAATCACTACAAAATAGCCATTTGTTTCAAAGTGATGATTTTTATTGAATATAGAATAAAGAATTTAAAAAAAGTTACAATTGTTTCAACACACTGATAGAGGAAATTGAGTGTTTTGTAAGTTAATGACCAATCAAAAATACAGTGTATATGAAAATCAGAAAAAAATTGACAGTGGACATTGTTTATAAAATTAACGCTTTAATGTAAAAATTAACTAAAAATAAAAATCATTCATAAAAATTTTATTATAAAAAAAAAAAATAAAAATTACGAAATTTTAAATTTAAATTAAATTTTATCCACTAAGTTTAAAATATTATAAAACTATTTAAATCAAAAAAAACTCAAAGAAAA